TTACTGATCTTTATAAATCTTTATATGATCATGCAAGGCCAACAACTTTGTTTTCCATGAGATTATCTTGGCCTTTCTTGGTCTTTTGGAGGTCTTTCACCTCTCATGCCCATAAAATCTTGCTGATAATTCAATTGAGAAGACATTAAATCTCTAGATTAGTTTGGGAAGAACTGACATCTTTATAACATTGAAATGTTTTTCAATTAATGAAAATAAGATATTTATACAATGAAATATTCTATAAGAATGAACAAGCAATTGCTATCTATAAGCACATAGACTGATTTACAGATATATAATGTTCAGCAAAAAAATTTTAAAAGTGAGCACTATAGTATTTTTATAAAAAGTTGAAAAATAGCTAATATGTATCAATAGTAAAAGATATTAGGATATTATTTTTGGTGTTGGTGAACAGCAACTGATTACATAGCTTGGAGGAGCTGGTCCCCTTTTCCTTGGTTTGAGAGCTAGTTACACAGCTGCACTGATTTTTGTGGAAATTTACTCAGCTGTTCATTTACATTTGCTTTATTATTTCTGTGCAAATGTTATATTTTAATAAAAAATACTTTTAAAAGCTTAAAATTTGCCTGTTTGCTCTTCCCCAATTGATGAATTTTCATAGTCTTCCAACTTTTCAGACTGCTAAGTGGGATAAGATGATGACTTTTCTCCATGGATGATGGCATAGCTTTGCTTACATTTTTTCCCTACAAGTAGATGTTAAAATTAATTCTGGACAGCCTATTTGTTTTTCAAAAATAACTGCTGCCAGGAAGACAGAGTGTAGGTTGCCAAGAGGGGGAGGGAGGGAGAGAGAGAGACAGAGAGGTAGAACTACACACACACTTGTGTGCGTACAAGTGTGTATGCATTTGTGTGTGTGCCTATTTGTGCATTGTACATATATCTTTGTGTATACACATATGTGCCTGCATGTTCCCTTCTTACAACGATGTATTTACACAGGAACAAAAGTAAGTTTGAAGTCAGGCAGAGTGGCATGTGCCTGTAACGCCAGAACTCAGAAGCTGAGGCAGGAGATTTCTAAATTCTAACCCTGCCTGGGTTACACTGCATCCACAGCCAGCTGAGACTACCTAATAAGTACATAATGAGTACCAAAGAGTGGTTTAAAAAAAAAGCCTAAAGATGTTCCAAAACTTCTGAGTAGAGAAATTTTCTACCAGTTTCCCAGGCATGTAGTACACGTCAATAAATCTTTCTTGAATGACTGAACAAAAGATTGAAAAAAATCAATGAAAGAAAAAAATAAGAATAGAAAAAAACTTGGATATATGTCTTTCTTTCCTTCTAGCTTGTCTTGGGATTCTGCTGGGACAGATGAGAATGGGATTACGGGAGCCATTTTATCCAATTACTGCTCCCAGGCCTCTTTGGGTGCTAGGCTGGTCAAGCCAGTCCCAAAGGTACAGCCCTCATTGGTCCTAGCAGACTCACAGGCCCTTGATAGCTGTCATTTCTAAGGCTTGTCCTGCTGTTGTCACATTATGACAGTCCCACTTTGGAGATCCCTATAATGTGGCAGTCTCAGAATGTCTACTCTGCCTGCTTTTCCCCCTCCCTCGGAGATGGCTTATCAATAATTCTGTTTAATTATTTCTCTAGTCTTTGCAGCTTAAACACTGCCAGTCACCTTCCTCATTTCTCATTCCCACATTTATTGTCTTCCCAAGAAACTTCTTTGATTAGCCATTCCTGAAGGCCTCACTGGACTTTGCAGCTCCATTGTCCGGGTGACCTATTTCTGGCCAAAGCTAACGGAGAGTACCCACAGGTCCCTCCACCACTGCCAGGAACACAGGTGCCTGCAGGAGCCTGAACTTGCCAGCTCCTGGCCCCTCTAGACCAGCAGCTCCAAGTCCTACATTAAGGCTGGTAAGCCCTAGAGACAATCAGGAAGAAGGAAAAACACAGAGCATGGGGCCATCAGTCCTCACTCCCATGTCCAGGAAGATGCACTAACCTACCACACATTCTTCCCCAAAGAAAACCTTGGTCCAGCGCATAAAGCATACTACCCATCTGTAAAAATGGATACTTGTCTGCCATTCCTATTACTTCAAGTTGCTACAAACATCATATCTTCCAAATTTTGTACCAGCATAATAAGACTCACTTCTATGAGGAAAACAGCTACATAAAAATAGTTCATGAAAACTTGCATTCAATAAACTATTCTATGTGCAGATGTCCGGAAGTTAGGGGTAAGATAAAAGATCATCAATCCTGTCTCTAAGGTTCTATGAAGCATCTAGGGAGACAAGACATGACTTTATCACAGGCTGTCTCAGAGGCTCTTTAGGAGACCATCACCAGGAACACTCTGAGAAAGCAGGCAGGGTAGGCTGGGGTGTTGTAGGCAGGAACAGTGAGGGATGATTCCTTGGTGAAGGAGTACATTTAGCGGGTAGAGGCCACTGATAAGGAGTCACTTTAGAAATGCTGCTGCTCTAGGACACAAGAGTGATTCAGGACAAGAGTAGAACCATTCACAGTTCTAAAAATGAGCTATGTGGTCCTCCACGTTGAGAGGTCATAGGCAAGGAGGCCTGGAAGACTGCAGGTAAGGACTTTAACTTTTCTTTTATTGCAGCTCACGCTTACTGTAGATGGCAGAGGGGGAGAGGGAGAGAAGAAAGGAAGGAGGAAGAGACCCCCAGAAGGGAGCCAGATGCAAGGAAAACCCATACAGCTGTGAGGACTCAGGTCTTTGCTAAGATATCATTAGTATTGCTTAGGCCAAGGTGCAAGGAAACTTGGATACAAGCAAATGGTCCCCTACAAGAGAAATTATGCACGATCAGGGGCTTAGGGAAATGTGATACAGAGGTGTGAGGCTGAGGCTGGGAGTCAGAACTGCGTCCATGAAGATTCAGGATGAACATGGAAAATTCTGAAGAGGAATAATGCCCATGTTCATTAAGCTCTGAGGAGGAGCCCTGAGGGACATACTGAAGGACTTACAGAGCCCGGCTTTGGTGGAGAGACCCACACACCTCAGCTCTCTCCTTCCCACATGTTTCTGTTACATCAAAAGCATAACACTTATGAAGCACCCTATAGTAGTTCATTTCCTATCTCCTGGTTCTGAGAGCTTTCAGGACAAGAGCTGACCTACAGCCAAGCAGCAAGTCCCCCTGGTGTGCATGACTCATTGGAAAGATTGTCTTATGGGCTATTAAAGAGGGGGGAGGAAGAGCTCAAACACTTGGGTTCAAAGCAAATTATGCACAAGCTAAGCACACTACATGTAATTCTGGCTCTGAATACAACTTTCCTCAAATAACAAGACAGAAAAAACAGGATTTTTGGTTAACATGGTGCCAAGATGTTCCAGGAATGGATCAAATGCTTCAAAACAGTATAAATGAAACTTGGCTTTAACAGGTCAATCCACTGATTAATATGTGAAGACATATTCATCTGTTAAATTCACATGTGCAAAAGAAACAGCGTGTCTTTATTTTCTTGTACATGCCTCATTGTGCTTGGAGATCCCTATTCCTGCCCATGCTGGGAACAGAAAGCTACCAGTGGCTTTCTGCATAGGGAGGACTCTCTGAGAGCCATCTGGGACTGTCCGTGGCTTCAGAGTCACTGTATTTGTCAGCCAGCTTGGATGAGGTAAGCATTATTTAACAAAGTTTTGACAGAAGTGTTAGAGTTTGGGTTTAAAGTGCCCGCAGAGGGCCCATGTGACAAAGGCTTGGCTCCTGTCTTGTACCGCTACTGGGAAGTGGTGGAAGTTTGAAGAGGTAGGGCTAATGGAAGAAAGCTAGTCACTGGGGGAGTGCCTTTGATTGGAAGTCCTTCCTCTCTTTGCTTTCTCACCATCACGAGGTGAGCCACTTCACTCTTTCATGCTGTCACACCATGATGTTCTACCCCAATATAGGCCTGAATATAATACATGCAACAAACCATGCACTGACACTTCTGAAACTGTGAACCAAAGTAAAAGTTTATAATCTCAAATATTTTGTCACAGTGGTTAAGAGTAACTAACATAGACAAGATAAAAAAAAATAGAACCTAACAATTACCTTTGCCCTATGATTATTTACCCCTGCCCCAGGCAGCCATAACAGACCTTGCTAAGAGGACACTTTTGATTGGACGGACAGAAAACACTCACTGGCCGAAGACAACAGAGGAACAGAAAGAAAATTTCCCCTGAGTAATTTTAGAAGTGCTTAACTAAAAACAGCACTGAATCTAAAGACAGTCTCAGGATCTTTCATTCCTGGGGAGCTACCAGTGAACTGCTGGCCTAGACACCAGAGAGGGAAACAGCATACTCTGCTGCTCTAAGAATGGGCAGCAAAGCATCTTGGGCTTTGACAGATCTGGGTTCAAGTCATTGTCACCTTTTGCATCTGTAACATGGGAATAATAAAGTCAACTCCTAAAGATTATGCACATAAACAAGGTATTGCATATAAAGTACTTTTATAGTGATTCTACTGTCACTTTTCACTTATAAATTGAAGCATATTAATTTTAGATTTTATAAGTTTAGGGATTATAAGATACTGGAAAAATGCCATGCAACCTTTGCACATTTGAATGGATTGATTTTTTTCCCAGAAAACTCAGGATTTTATAGTGAAATATAAATGAGAATGAACTGTTATGATTTAAGAACATTAAAAACCGAAATTTGTAAGGTCCATGTAGTATGGTAATTTTCCTGAACAAAAGGAGTATTTTATATGGTGTCTATTACTTAACACACAAGTTCCCAGAAGCTCTCAATTTTCTCATATTATAACTTGTGTTATTTACTTTTCCAAATAGTTGAATGCCTCAAGGTAACCTATAGCCTTAGGCCCTATAAGGAAAATTGCATTCTATGCCTTCCATATGATGCCATGAAAATTGTTACTGACGTTTGTCCCATGGTATAATGAACAACAATAACAAAAACTTAGGCTATACAGATTTCATTACCCACAACTAAATCATATTACCTGTTGAAATAGGTCAGCACAGTCTCATTGATTGGAATCACCTGGATATTTCTGTTTAGTTGTAAGTAGACCCACAGAAGTAAAGTTCTCAGAAGATGAAACTCACTAAAGGTAAACAGCCTGGTCAAAATAAAAGGTGGAGAAGAAATTTTAGGAAAATCAAACAAGTCATACCATTTAAAGTGAGTTTAGAAGGAAAGCAACACTATGGGCCTTTAGGTGACTCAGATAAGGAGAATTAAATGATTTGCTTTTGGTACCTCACGTGGTAAATGGTAGAGCTGGGACTCAAATCTTAGCAGCCTGACACTGGGCCCCGTGCTTTGAGTCACCCAACTGTGAAGCCACAAACAATGTCACCATTTAATGAGTTCTAAGTACGTGGTATTCACAAGATGTTTTGTGTAGATTTTAAAATTTAATTCCACATATAATCCTCCAAAGTTGGGGTATAAAATTTACTTTTAAGATGTGGAAATTTATTTAAAATGCTCTTAATTGATGTTGTTGATTTTTATTTTAAATATTATACAAATGTATAATTTATGAGTTTTTTCAGTGCCTCCCTTAAATTTTGTATCTCCAAGTGAATGCTTATTGGCCACACCCAAGCCTGGCCCTGGTCAATGGCTGAATGTGAATAATTTATCCAACATCACACAGTTTGGGGCTTGGACTTGGGGATGGGTCAGTAACCTCTTGCATGTTGCTAAACTGCTCTGCAATTGCAATTTTCTCATCTGTGAAAGAGCAGTAATAGTAGCTGCTCAGGGGAGAGTGGTGCAAACCGAAGAAGTTGGATGCATTACATGAGCTTCTAATTGCTGTTGTCCCAAACCATCACAAACTGGGTGACTTCAAATAAAAAATTATTATTTTAGAGTTTGGGGAGTCAGAAATACAAAAGGAATATTACTGAGTTCTAATCAAGGTGTTAGCACCCAATTCCCTCTGCAGAACCATTTCCTGGCCTTTTGCCACATCTGGAAGAAGCCTACCTTCCTTGGCTCATGGCTCCTTCCTTGATCTTCCAGCTAGCATCACAGTGTCTTCTAATCTCACTCTGATTCTGACTCTTCCAGGTACCATCACAGTATGTTCTATTCTTACTCTGATTCTGACATTTCTACCTCCCTGTTCAAATTTAAAGTATCTTGTGATTACATTGTTTACCCCAATAACCCAGGATAATCTTTCATTTTGAAGTCAGTTGAATAGCAACTTTCATTCAATTTGCAATTGTAATTCTCTTTGTCATATAATCTAACATAATCACAGTTTATGCAGATAGAACTTGAGTATCTTTGGGGCTGTTATTCTGCTAACCACACATAACAGCATGCTTGGCATAGTGCCTGGCACAAGGCAAAGTGCTCAGCAGTTGACAGTTCTTCTTTGTAAGTGGCTAAGGCGAGGTCCTGGCTCCAGAGTCCCCTCTTATTCTGAAACTACAGCAGCAGGAATCCTGAACTCATGGTGCCAGTGAGCAGCTCCATGTCAGCTATATAAAGTAAGGCAAGAAGCTTCTCCAACAGTTTCTCCAGCAGCTTCTGCTGACATAATGACATAAAGAGCCATTCCAATGTTTTTTAACCACATTGACATTTTTAGTCCCTGATCATGAACATAATACCTGGCTGTAAAATATGTCACAGCCTCTTCATTCGTCATTCAAGGGATCATAGTAGATGGAACTTGAGCTAATTCATGTCTCTAAAGGGCAGTGGAAATGTCACCCTCTCACTTCTCACACCATTTATGGACAGAGTAGAATAGCATTTTCCCCCTTACTTGATTTTCAGACCACCATTTTCAGATGCACAGGCCTGAATCTGGCCAGACAGGACCAAGTTAATCAGTGTCTGGGCAATAATAGTGAGGCAAAAAGAGAGAGTCCACAGGGCCACTAGGTCCAATATCCCCACAAAAACTTTATCATTTGGGTCTGAGAAAGCTGCATGACTTCCAGAGCAGAACGTACACTTGATGTCCTCAAGACCAGAAGGTTTTCTGAGATGTTAGCACAGAGGGAACAGCAATGAATGCAGAGGAACTGGGACTCCATGTCTTGGAATGCTGGTTTTACATAGCAAGGACAATTACTGAATTAATGCTTTCTGTCTTTACATCAGTATCAGTACTCCAAGGTACTATTAACTCCTGTAGCAAGCAACCACACCAAGAACATCCAAACACATTTCCTTCATCCAAGAGCTGTGATGGCCTCATTCAAAATGGAACTCACAGTCACATCAAGCCTGCCTGCAACGGAGGTGGATAAATGAGTTGTGTCACATGTGTTTATGATGCTTGCTGGCAGTCCTGGCAGTGTAAATGGTGTTTTCTCTTCAAAAGAAGAAAAATGATTTTTAGAGGACATTATCCTTTTTATTTTATTGTCAAGAAATTTATATATAGGAGGACTGGGAATCTGTACCCAGGGTCCTGAAGTCATCTGGGAATCTTTGATGAGGCTCTTGGGGACTGGGAAGCTGAGCTCAGCAGCCTGCCCACACCTGAACACCATCTCTGAGGCCTACAGGGATCAAGAGTCTTTACCCAGAATTCTGAAGTCATCTCGGAATTCTCAGTAAGGCTTTTGGGGACTGAGAAGCTGTGTCTGGTGGGCTGCTCATGCCCAAAAGCCATCTCTGAGGCTCACAGGAACTGAGAGCCTGTGTTCAGAAACTTATAGACATCTGAGAACCCTCAATGAAGCCTACTAGGACAGGGAGTCTGCACCCAATGTACCATCCACACCTGGGAAGCATTTCTGAGAGCCACAGGGACTGGGAACCTGTGTCCAGCAACCTACAGTCATCTAGGAATTCTTGGTGAAGCCCATAGGACCAGTTATCTGTGCCTAATGACCTGGAATCAACAGCAACCCTCAGTGAGGCCCACTGTCTGACAGCCTACCAGAACGGGGAGCAACTAAGATTTAATATTTAGCTGTTCTGGAGGAACACAGAAAAAGCCAAAACAAAAGAACAAAATGCAATCTCAGATTTCCAGCCCATCCAGATCAAGTCCAGGAGACATAGACATGAATGAATTTGGAAATCACACACCTGAAATCTCTGAAATGATAGCAAGGGAAGTAGAGAAACAACTCCAGGAAGCTGTAAAGGAAATCAGATCAGAAATAATCACTCAGATAAAAACAGAAATGAAAAACATAATGAAAGAATTGGTGAATATATCCAAAGAAAACATAAAAACATTAAAAAATAGAGGAGCATAGAAAAGTGACAGAAACCTTGAATGACTAATACAGAATACAATTAGAATACATGAAACATACTAAAGAAGATACTCAGGAAATCAAAAATTCCATTGAAATCTGGAAAAATTTCATGAATGAAACTGAAGATAGACTCTCAGACCTTGAAGACATGATTGTGACTACTGATCATGAAAGGAAACAGCTCTTAAAAATAACAAGGAATCAGATAATTACAATTCTACAGCTGCAACATGATGCAAAGAGAAACAGTATAAGGCTGTGAGATGTCAATGAAAAAGAGACAATTCAAATGGCATAACAAGGTAATTTACAGACATTATAGCAGAAACTTTCCCAAACATGGGAAAAGAACCTGACATACAGATAAGTGAGGCATATAAAAATCCATTACCCACAACCAAAATAAGTCTACACCTTGACATATAATAATCAAGATCCCAGAAATTCAGCACAAGAACAGAATATTAAAAGATGCTATAGAAAAGAAACAGATCACCTATAAAGGAAAGCCAATCAAAATCATGGCAGACTTCTCAACACAAATCATCTAGTCAAAAAGAGAATGGAATGAAGTATTTGAAGTCCTAAAAGAAAATAACTTCCAAACCAGACTGATGTACCCTGAAAAACTATCTTTCAAAATCATTGGAAGAATAAAATACTTCCATGACAAAAAAAAAAAAAAGCTGAATGAAGAATTTCATGACAACCCAACCAATCCTACAAAGAGTACTGAAAGATATTCTAGAAAGAGATAGAAATGATCACAATTCCAAGAACAACAAGCAACCAACAAGCAGAACAAGGAAATAAACAGAGGGGTAAAAGTAGAAAATCAACAACAGAAAAATAACATGACAAAGATAAATTAATACATAGCAATTATAATCATTAATGTAAATGGTCTTAACTCACCAATTAAAAGAAACATGGTCAGAATGGATTAAGAAACAAAATCCAACAATACGTTGTATACAAAAAATGCATGTAACACAAAAGGAAATTCATAGACTGAAAGTCAAAGTGTGGAAAACAATATTCCATGTGACAGGAAACCAGAAAAAAGCAAGGGTAGCAATTCTGTTTTCAGACAATGTGAACTTCAATGAGAATGATCAGAAGAGATAAATAAAGTCACTACATACTTGCTAGGGGAAAACTGAAAAAGGAAGGAATAACAATAATAAATATATATGCACCAAATATGGGAGCACCCATCTATGTAAGGCAAATACTGATAGACATGAAAAATCAAATAAGCAATAATACAATCATAACAGGTAGCTTAACATTCCATTGTCACAAAAAGACAGATAAACTGGACAAAAAAATCAGCAAAGAAACAGTATAACTCAATCAAACTTGTGAACAAATGGACTTAATAGATGTGTACAGAGTATTTCACCAACAGTATCAGAATATACATTCTTCTCAGCTGCACAAGGAACAAACTAAAATAGACCATATACTAACCCATAGAACACACTTAAGAAAATACAAAATAATGGAAATTATTCATGCATATTACCTGACCATAGTGTCATGAAATTGGAAATTAATGACAAAAGAAATTCTAAAAATTCCATCAACACATGGAAACTAAATAATACTCTCATAAATAATTAATGGATCACAGAGAAAATTAAAGAAAAAATTAAACAATGTCTACAAGCAAATGAAAATGAAAATGAAAATTACCAGAACCTGTGGGACACAATGAAAGCAGTCTTCTGAGGGAAATTTATCACAGTGAATTCTCACATCAGGAAAACAGAATGAAAACAAACAACCTGATACTACACCTGAAATACCTAGAAAAAGAAGAGCAAGTTAAGCCCAAAACCAAAGAAGGCAGGAAATTATAAAGATCAGA